GTGTGCAGGTATTTAAACTGTCATCTGCAAGAAAATAACTGGTCTGTGTTTTCCTTTCAGGGTGGCCCAAGTTCTTCCCACGGTTCTTACTCTGGTAACCAGGTAAATATTCTGGTCACTGTGCCTGCTCAGGAGCAGCCTAAAAGTATTCTTTGAGAGAACATTTAACTACAAAGCAATAAATTTCTGTTTTCTCTGCAGGGAGGGCATTCCTACTATGGACCTGGTGGATCTTACGGACAGGTAGGTGCTCTTTCTTCTTTGCAGAGATAACAGACTTTTATTTTCTGCCTGTTCTGTCCTCAAAAGATGGAAAGTACTTTCTTGGGAGAATCAAAGTAATCAGCTTTTAAAAATTTTCTTTGCAGGGAGGGACTTCTTCTTATGATGGCAGCAGTGAATCCTATGGTCAGGTAAATAATCTTTTTTTCCACTTTGTGTAAATGTTGCTGAGGGCCAATACCCTGGGTGAAGTAAATATACAGCTACATCTGTATTTCAGCTCTCATTATACTAATGAAAGTGATCTTTTATTTGAGGAATGAGTGAATTGTATGTACTTTTACCTAAGTAGCCTGAAAGTTTATAGGGCAGTAAAAGCTGGGGTGCCTCCAACCTTTATGGGTTATTCTTTTCAACAATGCTAGCTTTGAGTTACCTGCAAGATGGAGGTCTGTTTAAAAGTGGAATTAGAATTTGGTTTTAAAAACATGTAACATTAGTATTGTACAGGCACATAACTCAGTTGCTTAACAGTTCTGATAAGCAAGTAAATAATTATATTTTAATCTGCGAGAAGATCCCTACAGCAAGGAGAGAGAAAAAAAAAAGGCAGCACCTGTTTGCAATATGAAAATTATTTATGTTTTCTGAACAGGGTGGATCTTCTGTATATAGTGGTTCTGAGGCTTACGGCCAGGTAAATGTTATTTGTCTCCTACATCAAAAGCTTAAACTTGCTGTGTTGGTTTTTATGTGTACTGGGTTCTATGCTTCAGTTATTTTTAAGTGACCATGACCATGAAAATGCCATTTTAACTTTTTTTTTCTCTTTACCTTTGTAGCAACTCAAAATGTTTCCATAATTCAAAATGTTTCCAAAATTCAAAAAATTATAAAAAAAATCATAAGAGAACATGATGAACTATACATGCTGTTTTTCACTGTGACTAGCCCTGTGACTATTCAGTGCTTTAACAACTTTATTGCTCATTTGTTAGCTCATTCAAAAGGAAAATAATTCATGCATTTACTTTACATACCTTACTTATGCAGAAGCTGTTGAAAGTTTAAATAATGGGATTTTTTAATATTAAGAATGATAATTTTGCAATTTAACTTCATTGAAAAGTTTCTCCCCTATAAAAATGCATGTTTACAAGGAGAGCTTTTTCCCAGCCTCTTCTGCTTAAGCCTCTTTTCAGGTAAAGTTAAATATTTTTTCTTTTCTTGCACATTCCCTAGTTTAGGTAAAATTTGAGTTTCTAAGCACTTAGCTAGTTTTATTCTTCTATTTTGTATACCCCACAATTAAGAACATGTAAGAGAATTTCTTACATGAAAATAAATGTTTTTCCATTATTTTACAGGATTCACCTGCCATGGGAGCCAGTGAAACTGAAGATAGTGTAAGCATTTCTTCTCAAAAATATCAATATCTTCATTCACTACCTTCTAAAGTATCTAGGTGCTTACACAGACCTTTACCTTATCTGATGTCACGTGATTGTGCTGTACATGATAAGAACTTCACAAATTAAAATTGCAGTTACAACAGTTCCAACTTCTACCAATCAAACATTTTTTTAATTTGCTGTTAGAAGTAGCAATTACAAAGAAAGCTCTTTTTATTTCACGATTTCTATCAAAATTCAATATTTTTATATGACTACTTCTCTTTCCATCCCAAATTAGCACTACATTTTGTTTGTTTTTCCAATGCCAGACACATGATTCAAGTTCCTTCAACTACATATTGCATAGGAATGGTCTGTTTTCATGTAGTGTGGTGACAACTGCCTGCTTTTCTTTAAAAGATGCATTTTCTACTGACTAAAGTATATATTCTATTAACTCTGCTAAAGCCTGTTATAAGACTTCACAATTTTTAAGTCTTTTCCAGGGTCGTGGTTAGTAGGAAATTGCTCTCTGCAAATAATTACAAATTCAGCTGTGCACTTTAGTCACAAGTATACTGTGTCAATAGCTTCAATGCAGTTTCTGAACCAAATCTTCTTATGGATATTCAAGAAAGCTAAAATATGATACTACAGAGGGTCCAAGAAGCCCTCTGAAAAAAACCTAAAGTGTAACAACAGATGTGTACCACATTTTGGTCTTTGAAAAATCAAGACAGCTTTGCAAATGCTGATGTTTTCCCCTGCAACATTCTGGAGGACATAAAATAGATTGAGATGTGACCTCATTCCTTTATTTCACTATAACAGGATTCAGCTTTCAAAAGAAAGAAATTCCATTCTCCAGAAATGAGCTGAGAAAGAATTTGCAGACTGCTTATCCTACAGCCTACATCTTCAACCTTCCCACAAGCAGTACCTCCCTTTGCTTCCCCCCCTTGCTTGGAAAGAAGCAGTAATATTTTCCATGGCAATAACCAGATTCTGGTCTTTTTTAGGATTCCTCCTCAGCATCTGGTGGCCGCCAGAGTGAACGGGTAAGCAATCCCTCCTTTATGTAGTGCCAGGTGCCAGCCCAGTGCCAAACCTAAACTACATCTCCTGTGGAAAGCCTGAGGCAGTTCCAGTGTGGGACAGAAGCCCTCAAGCCCATCAGGAATGAGGATATGGTTAAAGAGTTTAAGTACTGCTAGAAATCCCAGCTGATGCTGAGGTGTGCTCCTGAATCTCAAGCTCACATCACAAATGTGATAGCACAATTTACTTGTTCAGGTCCTTGTACTTTTTAAATAATTGATTGACTGCAAAGAGCTTCAATGCCATGATTTTTCCAGCACTTATTCTAAATGCAAGCCTTTGCTTGTTGTGCTGTATGACTTACTTTGAAGGCTTCATTTTCCTATCATTTTTATATGGCACATAATGTATTTATTCTAATGACACCGACTGAGAAATTATTTTGTTGGAGATTTAACTCTTTCAACTGTTGTATCCTAAAGATATCTTCCACCAAAAGAGCAATTATCAATAATCATGAAAGGCATGTGCTCTTTTATATATAAAGACAGTAGATTTTTTTTTATTTTTCTTGAATAATCCATGACAGAAAATTAAGGCATGTGGAGAAGAAAGGAGGAGTGTTTTTCTTCCACTCTGATCTTTCCAGTTTTTGGGGTTTGGTTTTTCAATGTAATTTCATTTTAAATACATTTTTCCAGGATTTTTATTCCCCAGGAGGCAGCCAGTCAGGTGGACATGTAAGCATCTATTTTATTTATTATTTGCAGTTCTCTTTCAAAATGGCTGTACTATTTAAAAATTATCCCAATGAGTAAATGACACCAAACCATTAATTTCCTAGAAATTCTCATGACATCTGGCATCATGTCTTGTGAAATCAAACTGAAAACTGTTTGAATAAAAAAATTAAAAATTGTGTGCGTAGAACAGTCTTGTTCTCCATAAGTCATTTCAAACAAAAATAAATTGGGTCTTCTTTTTGCAGGGGTCATCTTCTCAAAGTGGCAGCTACTCCAGTGGACAGGTAAATACTAAATCTTTGTATTTTTGACCTGAAGTATTAATCAAACAAAAGTTTGAGGCCTCATATTGTATTACAGCAATTTTTAATCTGTGAATGAAAAAGACTTGTTCATTCTTCCTTACATAGCTCCATGTAAAACTCCAAATGCAAGTAGAGTAATCAAAATACAATTACTGTATTAACTGATGTTTTAACATCAGGAAAAATGAAAGTAATAAATATTTGGCATTACTTCATATATTTTAAATATAAAGCAAGTGATTTTTTATTTTTTTCAGGACTCATACTCATCTGGAAGCAGCCAGTATGGTGGGCAGGTGGGAAATTTTTCTTCTTCACTGTTATTGTGAGGGGTTTTCCCCCAATGTACATATTTCAAGAAAATATTACCAGATTAGCAATACCTAAGTTTCCAGACTACTCTGTGGTTTATTTTATCCTCATTGATCTTTCTATAGATAAAATTATGCTCTCAACTAATATCAACTTTTGAAACAGTTAAAAGTGTAAAAGACATTACTTTGTATTTAAATGCACGGGTCACGGAAAAATCTTTAAACGAGAATGTAATGTTTTCAGGGTTCATCCTCCTCAGGAGGCAGCCAGTCTGGTGGACAGGTAGGAACTTCTTTCTCCACAGTCTTCAGCCAGGCTTGTGTCAGGGACTCTGATTTATTTCTCTCATCTTTCATTTACAAGAACTGTTTTCCTTCACCAGGAAAACAGAACTGTCCTTCTTGCCCAAAGCCTCAGCAACACATAGTTTTCTTTTGCTTTTTGTTATTTGGACATCCAGCAAGCCAGAGCTTCCAGCAGTAATTGTTTGGCACATGCATGCCAGCTTCTGTACCTGCTTTAGTACTAAAGTTCATGCATATTGAAAGTGTAGAGTGAGACACTGAATGGTGAACTCCTGGCCACTTCTCAGTTAGTTTTATCTGAGTACAAATCACCTGTTTTCTGTATCATCTGTAACATGAAACTGCTGCATGTACTCCAGGCGCTCTGGCCTGTTAAGAAAAAAAAATTGCTTTCTATGGTACTACTCAGAATTTTGTATTCATCCTTTTGCTGAGTATTACTGTAAGGTAAAAAGTATTATATTATTTTTATGGTAAAAATTGTAGGTAAGAAAATTTGAAGATAAAAAAATGAGCATTTTGTTGCCCCATCAGAGCAATAAGTGCAGGAACAGTTGCATAGGATGAAACAGACTCAGTGCTAGAAGCTGGGCAGTTAAAATGTGGCTTTATGGTTTGCGTGCCTGGGGTGGGAGAAGTAATTTGAGTTGTAGCTAGGACCATTTCAGTCCTGTGCTCTTGACATCTCAAACACTTTCTGCATTCTTTACAGGGTGGATGTGATTGTTCTGGGACAAATTCTGTAAGTGCTACTTGTTCATTATACATTTTCTTTTACTAAACTATTTAACTGAAAAAATATGTGAGATCCTATTTATTTCCAACTTAATTATTTTAATGTACTCCAAAATTTACATTAATTGTTCCTTTGGTGAGTTAGATGGTTCTGATATGGTAGGAGTTATTTCTTACCATGCCAAGTTTCAGTGTTACAGAATCATTGAATCATTTAGGTTGGAGAATGCCTCAGGTCCAACCAGTAACGCAGCACTGCCAAGGTAACCGCTTAGCCATGTCTCTAGGTGCTCCATGTACAGGTCTTTTCAGTACCTCTGGGGCTGGTGACTCAGCTTCCCCAGCAACCTCTCCAGTACTTGATAATCCTTTCTGTCAAGAAATTGTTTCCTAAAATCCAATGTGAGCCTCCCCTGGAGCAGCCAGAGGCCATTTCCTCTGGTTCTATTGCTTGTAGCTTGAAAGAAGGGACCAGCCTCCACCTGGCTACAACCTCCTTTCAGGGAGTCATAGAGAGCAATAAGGACCCACCTGAGCCTCCTTTTGTCCAGGCTGAACAACCCCAGCACCTTCAGCTGCTCCTCACAAAGCTTGTGCTCCAGACCCTTCCCCAGCCCCTTTCCCATTTTTGGACACAATCCCACACCTCAAGGCCCTTCTTTGAGAGGCCCAAAAGTGAGCAAGGATTCAAAGTGGCAGCTTCATCAGTGCCCAATCAGTGTAGGGGGACAATCCCTTTCCTAGGGCTGCTTGCTGGCCGCATTATTTCTAATAAAAGCCAGGAAGCTCCAAAGCTGGCAGTGAGCTGCATCTCTGAGCAGTGATGTCAGTTGCTATACAGTATTTACAAAGATGTGTATCTCCTCTCAAAAAGCCAAAAAAATTTGCATTAAATAGCAGAATTAATTGACAAAAGACCTATCATGAAACCTAAAATAATATCCAGTCTATAAAATGGCCAATAGTACAAATTTGTATCAAAAATCAATCTTTACAAAATTTAATACATAAACAAAACAAAAAATGGAGCGACTTCTCATTTGTGTCCATATGAAATTACTTAAGGACTATGAAATAAGGTAATCCCTGTTTTCAAAGCAATTAATATGTGGACAATCAACATGTAGCATGTAAAGGACATTTCTGCACCTTGGAAATACTCTTATTTCCTAGGCAATGAATTATAGGTAGATACAATATGATACTTCATGATTTATGGTCTTCTGGACCAAAAAAGGGCTATTTTATCTATTGGCAAATTGATAAAGTAAGTGAAGTATAAGTGTAACTGATTTCAGGCTGTGATATTCTTCCTTTGAAATGCCATGAAACAGACATTCTAAGGTTTTGTTTCATTTATAGTTATGACCAAAGACAAAGGCTAATTTTTCTTTTCTTGTTTTCCTTTATAGGGTGGATCCCCTACTTTAGTCAGAAGTGATTCCTCTGCAAATGTAAGAAATGTTCATCAGCTTTTAAGTTTGTTCTCTGTTTGCTTTATCAATATAATGGCTAGAGATGATAAAAAGAGACAGTGCCTAATAGGAGTCATACACTTGTGAAAATAACTTACTCCGGTTACAATTAAAAATACACACAGGACATTCTTTTTAATTTTAACTAAAAAATGCACACAGAACTTTCATGCAGTGCTCCCAGTTTCCCTTTCCATTTGAAATAGTTTTCACTCAAAGAGAAGTCTTACAATGAAAAATGTTGTTACAAACACAGGTAGATAACAGTGCAAATATTTACTTTGGGAGTCAATTCTATTGGCTTCCTTGGAATTATATAAAAAAATCCCCCAAGGATATGGATTTATGTGATTTTACTGCTCTTTTTTCCCCAGGGCACATCTTCTTTTGGAGGCAGCCACTACAACAGCCAGGTAAGCATTCATTCCAAAAAGAATCATTTACCACTGCTGAAAATGATTGTTAATTCATTCAGTTAAATTCAATTTTTTATATAGGAACTGGGTAAAAAGAACAGAAGCCCAGCAAGTGAAATTCATCATTGAGTTAGATATGTCCTAAAAATTATAACAATGGATTTTTTAGCCAAGAGTGCCCTGACTTTGTGAAACTTGCAAAATGAAGCTTTGAAAAAAAACCCAAACAAACCAAAAAACAACCAAACAAGTGTGGGGAAAGAATGAATCAAACTGCATCATTTTGAATTCCTATTTGATCTAATTCCATTATGAAGAAAAAAAAATCCAATCTTCCCTCTTTAAAGAGACCTTTTGTTGTATGAGGTTTCAGCAAATTTTCTTAGTTTGGTTTTCAGAGTCCTGTTGGTAGGTAATATTTTACTGCTAGCTCTGGACCAGCATTCAGCTTTCCAAATTAAAAAACTTCATTCTCCAGAAGTGAGCAGAGAAAGAACAGGAAAGAATTTTATTTTAACCTTCCCAATATGTCACACAAACAAAGCACTACGTCTTTGCCTTCTACCCTTGCTAAGGATCTCAGGTATTTTCCCAAATTAGCTTGCTCAGCTGAAATCCTAGTTATTAAAGCATTCTGAAAGCCCTGCTCACCTGTCTTCCCTCTCACCTTGCTCTCTTGCTCCTGTTGTCCTGGCAGAGTCATGTTTCTATTTAAGGAAATCCTACTGCAGGTAATTCACTCAGCTGGTATTCTTTACAGGATTCATATTCCTCTGGAGCTAACCAGTATGGAGGACATGTAAGTTCTTACTTTTAATATTTTATATTATATTTTTAAATAAATAGTTGACTCACATTAAGGACCTCATTTTAATATATCAAGAAAATTGGCAGTGGTCTATACTCTGTGGTAATATTGTGAATTCAAGGAAGACAAAAAAACAGAGTTTATTTTGGGATAATTACACACAAACACTCTAACAAAATATAGGTGCCTTTGCCACTTCTTTCCATGAATTAGATATTCAGAAATAACTAATTATCAATTTTTTTCCAGGAGTCATCTTCTTATGGAGGCAGCCAGTATGGTGGACAAGTAAGCATTAGTAGTCCCCATTTTTGTAGTTTATTTACTGTCCACCTGACTGACTCTATTTTAGCTTTAATTTAATCTAAAATCTCTTCAGTAAATCTTTCTTTGTAGTGTTCTGATGCTACTGTAATTAAACAAAACAAGTTCAGATGAAGATCATTATCTGAGACTAAGAAAAAATAGAATGTGAAATACTTGGCTGACTCAACTGACTCTTGAAATTTGCAGGACTAGATATCATGTCTCTCTGAAATAAATCAGCACTTTATGAAGCTAACCATAATCTTTAAAGCCTCATGAAATGATTCTATGCATTTATGAAGCAGGTGTAAAAAGGTTTCAGTTTCCATTTTTTGTTTATTTTCAGGGTTCACGTTCCCCAGGAGGCAGCCAATATGGTGGACAGGTAAATATTCTTCCTTTGTAGCATCTACTACTTTATCAAAGAGATTTGGCAGTTTTCTGAGTACAAGAATATTTTAAGGAGATTGGGGTTTGGTTTGGGGGGTTCCATCCATTTTTTGTCTAATTTGTTGCTAAGTATATAATGGCTATAAATGTATGGGGTCCCAAGCCACAGCAGAGTTTTTAAGATGGAATTTCTGATGCACCATGGTAAATGCAGATGAGCCTCAGCCATTTTGGCAAGTGTGGTTCAGTCCACTGACAGTTCTGGAGGGAAGGAAACGGTACTCCTTCACATGGAGCGTGGTTTGAAGGAGTTCAATGATATGGATATAGAGATTATTCAATTCTTTTTTGTTCAGGGTTCACCTTCTTCAGGAGGCAGCCAGTATGGAGGACAGGTGAGAATCTCTTCTCATTCTACACCAAAACTTGGTACTTTTATATTGACTGAAAAAATGCTTTGTGAAAAAAATCTGTTTATCTGATAAAAGATAGGTATCTAAAGATATACGCTTTGAAGCAATACAAAACCTGTGGGGATCTGCTGCCTCTGTTATCTTAAATGCAGTCCTGGCCTTGTTCTACCCTCCAACCTGCCCTGTTGCTGTCAAGGTTTCTTATCTCTAACAGTAAGGAAGCAGATTCCTCCCTCCTCTACCTCATTTCCTTCAGAAAAATGCAGTATCAGAGTTGATATCTGAAAAGCAGTATGGTTAAAAATAGGAAGAGGGGAGAAGGTGAGGACTTACTGAGACTCCTCATGCCCCTGTGAAATGAAAGATGACAGATAGAGTTCCTGGTGCTGCCTGGAGGTATAGCCTCTAATATGGAGTGACACTCAAAGCAATAGGCTGAGTGTTTATCTTCCTGACATTTTTCATTGTGCAACAGAGAAAAAAAAATAGTGCTTCTTTAAAAAGCTCTTAAAAAAGCTTTTTGATTTGAGAAATAATTGGCACCTTTGCTACAGGGTCCATCTTTCTCAGGTGGCAGACCTTATGGAGGACAGGTGAGAATTATTTTTCTGTTTATGGACTGTTTTCTCCATTGTTTGCCTTTTCTTTTTCTTTTTCTTTTTCTTTTTCTTTTTCTTTTTCTTTTTCTTTTTCTTTTTCTTTTTCTTTTTCTTTTT